GATTAAGCCAAAATACATCAATTGACGTTCACGTCCAGTAATATGGTTAGTGTATTAAAAATACCACGTTTAATAAATGGAAAGAGTAACGAGTCTATTGCTCGATGTTAAAATGTTTGACTCATGAAAAAAGTAATTGCAAAGACGGAAAGACCTGCGCATTTCCTCTTGGAAGGGAAGAAATGTTGTTGCCTCAGAGACGGGCACTTTACGCACCTTAGCAATGTTACATCATTACGCCTGGTTGCTAGATCATGCCTGGACGTTTATACATGCTCCCACTTTGATCATAGTAATGTCATCCGCAAATTTGGCACACACAGTGCCTCGTTTACGTACTAAAATGAGTTTTACCACTGCATATTTTTTTTCGAAAACGTTGAAATTTGTGCGGGAATGCCTGTGTTCAGGCGCAATCTTTTTTACTAATTATTGCCGTATCTCAGTGTATGATTTTGTTGATTCTATGATCCATAACAAAGGTCCCACGTAGGGGATCGGTTTGTACCGATTACTAATAATTGTTACACAAAGTAATGTGGGAAAGCCAGACCCAGATGAGATGGCTGTTCGAGGTTTTATTCTGTTGCCCAATGGTTTAGTGAGTCTTAACCGCACGAGAACGTTGAAGGAGAACATACTGAAGGATAGCTAAATGTCATCATGTTTAATTTAATTTTCGGGATTGGCGGTAGATTGTAAAACTAGTAGAAGTCAAGATCTGTGTTCTTTACATCATGCTAGCACCGAAACTACTGTACAGGGAGTAGTTTTACGTCAAATCGAAGGCATCATCAGCATTCCTCAGCATCTATTAGCCCTCCGTATAGTAAAAGGACCTTATAAGGATAGGGCGAAACTTAATGGTACTATGCTGAATATCTCTGTCGTCAGTAGCATTTTTTTCGGCACACCAGGAAATATATATGTACCTCTTTCCCAAATGGTGACCGAATATAGACACAAGTTGATCACACACTTATCCTGACATACCAGATTAGCTCTGGGAATTTTCGTGTGAAATATAATCCCGATACTGTCTGTGGTTAAGGCTCTTTAGAATCAATGAAACAACCGGCAACTGAGCAATGTTCCTCGTTCCATACATTTTGCCAGTGCCACGGGCAACGGGCCACCGGCTAGCCAGAATGGCCGGCTCATTGTACTTATGCCAAATGGAGCGGCCTCAGAAGCATTTGCAATCAATAACTAACTAAACCGGAGCGTTCTCTAACAAACACTTGCTATGTGTTATAGCGGACGCAGTTTTTGATCGTCCATATTCAACAGGAACTAACATAGTTGAGGGTAGTAGCTTCCATAAACAATAGTGGGAGACTATTCACGCCGATTGTGGAACACCATATTTACGAAAGCGAAGCAATGTAATGTGAGTGAACTTCCGATTCCAAAGGCTACTTGCGCATCACCGAGCTGTACCTTGCGACACTTACGTCTCCGGTACATGGAAAAATTCAAGAAAATTGATGATTGACGTGAAAATACGAGTGGCAGTACCACACCTACGTTTAAATCCAATATGCACACTGGTCTCGAATTCCAAATAAAAAGTCTTCAGAAAGTCCGGAGAAATCCCCCAAAAAAGCCAAATTAAAGAGTCATTGCAGACTGTATGTCAACGCCAAGTAAGACGGGATCCTGCGTCAGTTAGCGGCCGCCAGATTACAACTACGGGCGTGTCATTCGGGTTCAGAGATATACTCGATTTTTGACAACGAAACTACTGACTGAGTGCAAACTAGATCGATCTCAGCATACAGCGTCAATGTTAATAAACTAACGGGCGCGAGAAGAACAACATTATGCTTATCCAAAAACCTCATCGGTAGAATGACAAGTTCAAAATATCAAATAAGAAGTAGTATTATATGAACTTAATGTGCGCTTGTAGCGCTAGCGCCAAGCCTCCGTACGCGCCGCGGATGATCCGGAGAACTGGACGGACCATCTCCCCCTGATACTCTTGGGCATCCGCTCCTCCCTCAAGTCGGCCTTTGATTGCTCCGTCGCTGAACTGGTGTTCGGCGACCCTGTCCGACTTCCCAGTGAGCTGATCTCGCCATCTCCTCCAGGTGCGGTCGAGGATCCTACCAACCTCCTGCATCGCCTCCAGCAGTTTCTGTGGGCGCTATCCCCGGTTCCGCCCAGACCCTCTGTCTCCAAGTCTTACCTCAAGAAAGACTTGGCGACCTGTACTCACCTCTTTCTACGATGTGATCGCGTCCGGCGGCCCTTGGAACCACCCTACGAGGGACCCTTCCGTGTCACCTCGCGTGGGACTAACACATACCGCATCCAATGTGGTACTCATGAGGAGGTCGTGAGCAGTAACCGGCTCAAGACCGCTGTCTCGGACACTTCGCAAGACGAGTCCTCTGGTTTTCTGCCCTCTTTTTCCCCTCCTCCCCAACCCGCTATTCCACCGTCCCGCATTTTACCTCTTCCCTCATGTCCGCAACCCAAACCTGTTCCTGCCTCCAACATAAACACTTCTGCTACTGCCTCAAACTCTAAAACTTCTGCCACTACTCCCACCAACTCCTCTTCCACGTTTCCTGCATATATCACACGGAGTGGATGACATGTTCATTTCACTGACCGTTTGATTACCAACATTTTGTAGGCATCAGTCCTGCCTTCAGCGTCGTTTACCGCTGCCCTCGGTCTTTCCGGGGGGTACCGTATAAATATGCCTCGCTGACTCACGCTGGCTATGTTGCCAAAGGCGCGCAGGTTCAGTGTCTACGCGCGCCGGCTAAACTCCTACGCACTGTGTCCGCCAACTGTTACGAGAGGAACCGCGTTATCCTTCTTGGCCTATGCTCCCCCGCTTCTCGCGGATCAGTGCGCACGTTAGCTTCAGCCAATCGATGAGCGCCTGTTCATCTGGTTGTGTGCACTTTTACACTTAGCCCATTCCGCAGGCAAGGCGGAACAAAAATTGGTGTACTGACTCGGCGTGGTTAACTCCGCATGTGTACTATCTATTCTCCGGCAGCAAACTTCTGTCCATCTACAACGTCTCGCTTGACTGGTGATTTTGGGAAACCTCCTGTTTGTTGACATCACAACTTGCGACACGCTGTCCACGAGAAAGTATATACAGTGGGGCAGTGCAGAGCAGCATGAAATCGATATCAACCACCGAAGAGAGCAGTTCACTATTACAGTTAGAATAAGTATTGGGTGCGCGATTTAAGGTGAAGTC